CTCTCCAGGGAAAAGTAAATGTATTTGTTTCCACACTCGTACGACAGAGAACCTACAATTATTCCTTAATAATTCTGAAATACCCTTTTGCAAATCCTTACGCGTATTAGGAATGATCTTTGATAGTGAATTAAAATGGACCCAACACCTAAAGGAACTTAAAAGCTCTTGCAAAATGAAAATGAACATAATGAAAATACTTTCAAATCACACTTGGGGTGCTGACGCAAAAAGCCTTCTAAATATTTACAAATCACTAATACTATCACGAATAAATTACGGATCAATTATTTATAATTCAGCCAAAGAAAATCTACTCAAAATATTAGACCCGATACATAACGAAGGTATTCGCATTTCAATAGGAGCATACAGAACCAGCCCTATCGACAGTATTTTATGCTACGCTGGAGAACTACCTCTCAAACTCCAAAGAGAAAAAGACACACTCATCTACGGCATAAAAAGGAAAAGCACTCCTAATCACATAGGACACAACAACATTTTCCAAAACCAAAATAAAATCCTAACCAACATATCTAGGAAACAAATACCACCCATACACGTCACCTTCTCCCGTTTGTGCACAAAGTTTAAAATCCACACATCCATTAAAAATAAAATTACTTTCCCAAAATTTTCACCTTGGCTTTGGAAAACCCACATAAATACCGAATTAACCAAATATAATAAGCATGAAACAAATTCGACAATTATCAGGTCTCACTTCAAAGAAATTATCCAAATTAAATACTCCATTTTTTCACAAATTTATACCGACGCATCTAAATCTCAACATGGAACTGGATTTGCAATCATCAAAGAAGAAACCGAAATCCTGCATAAGCTTCCTCCGGAGAGCAGCATTTTCACAGCAGAAAACTACGCCATATTAGAAGCAATCAAATCAACAAACCTGACACCTTCATATAACAATATTTTAATAATAAGTGACTCATTTAGTGCTCTTCTAGCTCTCCTAAACCCCTTCTCGACAAATGAAATAACCCAGAACATCCAAACTGAACTATATTCTACAAAAAAAAATATAGAATTTATGTGGGTACCTTCTCACACCGGCATTGCCGGTAACGAGATGGCCGATAAGTCAGCAGACAAAGCAGTTAAAACCATCTTACATCCAACAATCACAGACATACCGGCTAATGACATAAATATTTCCATTCGAAACAAAATAAATATGACATGGCAAAGTTACTGGGATTCTGTTCCGCCTTCCAACAAATTAAAAAAAATAAAAAAATGCACCCAAAAGTGGCACCATCTCCATAATTTAAACAGACGACAAGAAGTCACTCTAGCCAGAGTAAGAATTGGACATACTTCCCTGACTCATTCTTTTTTAATTAGAAAAGATCCACCACCCATATGTAATCAATGCCAAGAAGACCTAACCATTCAACACATCATCCTAGACTGCCCAAACCTCCAAAACACCAGAAATACCTTATCAATACCCAACAACTTAGAAGAAGCTCTCCATGAAGACAACACCACAAAAATCTTAAATTTCCTTACACAAATTAACATTGCACACAATCTTTAATCAATATGTATTTGTATTCATAATTTAAGACTCTGTAACCTTTTAAATATGTAATCATTAATGTAACCCACACTATGTAAATGTATTCAAGGCTAATAACCCCAGATGTTGAAGCCTCTTTTCTTTCAATAAAAAAAAAAAAATAAATAAATTAATAATAGCTGATACGAGTACCAACATGAGCTATAAGCTCGTATCTGGTATACGGAGTTCAACGATATTACAACACGTTTAAAATTAATTACTAATACAATAAAAATTTAATATGATTAAATAAACATAACATGATATAAAAAACTTTAGAAACAAAAATTTACATTAGCATTACATATTATAGGTACTTATTAATATATTATAAGATATTATGTTTAGACATATTGACTTTTTATGATTTTATTAATACACGCATTATCATCAAGATCACTATTTTATTTATTACCTTTTTTAATTGATTTTTATTAATTTTTTTTTTTATTTAAATTAAGCCTCAGCAACAATGGCCATTGGCAACAATGAGTTTAACTCTAAATTATTTACATGTTATATAATTTACATATTAAATACTATTGATAAGGTTGGACTTAGTAATAAAGGTTATTATGAGTCTTATGTTGTCTGGGTGGAGGGCTTCTGACAGAATTTTTGAGATGCCTGCTTCCCGTCTATCTATTTCGTATGAAAGTCATTCAGTTATGATGTGTTTGATTGAGAGAGGAGTTACGCAGCTGCCACATAGGGGTGGGTCTTCCTTCTTCATCAGATACTGGTGTGTTAGTGTTGTATGTCCTATACGGATTCTGTTGACTGAGGTTTCCATTTTCCTTGTAAAGTCTGGTGGAGAAGGCCATGAGTGGATGGCATTTTTAATTTCGTTTAATTTGGATGTGCCTTGTTTCCATGTCCGTAGCTATTTTTATTAATTATATTAATTATATCATTGGTATTATTAGACTGACTTTCACATAAACTTTTTATTAGACTCTTTACTTCGTTATTTAAATTGTTGAAAATAGTTTTCCCCATGTAATTATAGGAGAATTTCTGGAACTAGTTAAAAGGAAAATGACGGTTTAATGAATTTTCCTGTTTTTCTGTCTATTATTTCTGTAGCATTGAGTGTATGGTTCTGTATGGATTTAACTAAAATTTGTCTAATGTAAAATTTATTACCAGATAATATATTAGTATGGTTGAATAATTCCTCTGATGTGTATTTTAATGGTAGGGAGTTTGCTACTTTTACAATAATTTTTTGTGTAGTATGCAATGTATTGATATCTGTTCAGTTGGTGCCTCCCCAACATGTTATGCCGTATAATAGTATCGAATTACACAGTGTCATGTAAATTTGTCTTATAATTGATTTATCAAGGAATCGAATTTTTTAAAATAATACAGTTAAGCTCCTCATTTTATTTTTGATATTATGTATAATATGTTCTGATCATTTTAAGTTAAAATCCATTGTCACTCCTAAATATTTGAATGATAATACCATTTTAATTTATTTGCAACTACAATTTGTCATACTAATTCCACATTTATGTATTATAAATTTACCTATATCCAACAAGTAACTGTGAATATATGGTAACTATTGGCATGCAAACCTATTTGCTTAATATGTTAAGTGATAACAGATTTTTTCCATCCAGTCATAGATATGCCGTAAATCGATTTCGACAGTATATTTTCATTTTTCCCAATTATCTTCGAAATTAACTAGTGCTATGTCATCCGCGAACATGAATAATTTACCTTTTAATGAAGATGCAGGTATAGAGTTAATATATATTAAAAACAATATAGGGCCTAAAGGTGTACCTTGAGTGACTCCATAATCTTTAACATAACATTGATTACTGAAATAAGGTCCGATAGTTATTAGTTGTTGTCTGTTACTCAGATAACTGGTAAACCATTTTAATGCATTGTCATCAAAGCCTAATTATTTTAACTTGTTTAATAATAATTGTCTACTGATTGAATCAAATGCTTTTTCCAAGGCCAAGAATGAAATTAAAATTGTATTTTTAGTATCCCTTTTGTTATGTAAATAGTTATTAATGTCGATTAAAGCGTCTTCTGTTCCTAATTTTTTTCTAAACCCGTATTATCCAGTAAATATTATTTTATCTCTCTCCGAGTATTCTAATAGTTGATTTTTAATTATTTTTTCAAGGATTTTAGCTAGAATTCCTACTATGAAGATTGGTCTATAATTAGTGAAATCAGTTTTATCTCCTTTTTTATGAATCGGTACGATTCTAGCTACTTTAAGTTCATCAGGAAGAGTACCATTTGTTATGCTACAGTTAATTATGTGTACAATAGCCAATAGGTAATATCACATTGTCTCCTAATTGTTTAAAAAATAGTGCTGTATAACCATCAACTCCAGGTGCCGAGTTATTATTCAGATTATTTAATATACTTTTTACTTCGTAACTGCCTATGGTTTTTAACTTGAAGTTGGAGCTTATGCTTGATTTACTATTAGTATTTGTTTCGAAATTAGATTGTATATTATTTGTACTATTAGGAAAATTGTTATCAACTAGTCTATTTCAGGTGGTAGTGAAGTATGAATTTACTATGTTTAAGTAGTCTTTAGGCGTGGATGTCGGATATATGTCCTTTATTATTTCATTGATTGGGGTAGCCCTGTAGATTTAATTTTTCTTCCCGATAGTTCATTAATAACTTTCCAGATTTCTCTTCCATTACCATTACATATTTCTATTTTGTTGATATAATATTGTTCTTTAGCCTTCCGAATGAGTATTGTTAATTTATTTCTATAAGCTTTGTAATAGTTTAGGTATCAAGTGTTAAAAATTAAGTTTAGTTAAGGAATTATGTAAGCAAAGAAAATTAATATTGAAGGTTGGACACACTGATAGACCTGAGATGGTCCCTACCACTGTGATCTCTATAATAAAAGACAGTTAATAACCGAACGTTGATGTGTTAAGTTCATCGCCTTTGTCCGCTTAATTAGTGTTCTAACAATTTCAGAAGTGGGATGCATAACCAAAACGCCACAATAAAATAAAATAATATATTTTGAGTTTGCGCGTTAGTTTGTGTTGTCTCGGTCGTGTTAAGTATCGTGCGATTAGTGTTTACGCGAAAACGATCGCGAAGTTCCGAGTGACATTAAAAAAAAAAAAAAAAAAAACGTGTAGAAGCGAAAAACGCGGTTTGCCGAATTGAGGTTATGTACCAGTAGTCGTATCGGAGTTGTGTCGCACACCACATTACTGTGTTTCAAGTGGGTTACCGTAACTACCAACTTCGACTATCACTTAACCGTGAATCTTGTGATATCAAACATTGCTGTTGTTGATAATTGTTATCACGGTTCTCGAAAGACAAACGTTTTCAATTGTTTTTTTTTTCGTTTGTTGTTGTTTTCTTCTGTCCTTTCAATATGAGTACCGACGGAAATGTTAGCAACAATGAAACACTGCAGTCGCTGTTGGAGATATTAGTGAATAACGCAATACAAGGATCAACCATTAACAATGCCTATCAAATCATGCCAGACCTATCGCAGGCCATCGGTGATTTTAACGGCGAATGCGAAATTGGAGGAGAAGCCATGGCATGGTTAGACAACCTGAATGCCACAGCAACGCTGCACAAATGACCCAAAGAATTAATTCTGCAAATGGCCCGTCGGCATATGGTCGGCCCAGCGCACGACTGGCTACTGAGTCATGAGATCACCACCTGGCGGGATTTTGAATTATTATTCAAAAAGACGTTCCGTACTGAAACCAGCTTTTCACAACGCTTTGCGCAAATGCAATCTCGCATTCAAAATAAAGGAGAAGCAACTACTGCGTATTTTCACAACAAGGTGAGACGTTGTAAAGCAGTGAACCTTAACTTTGAGGACATCAAAGAACAAGTGCTCATTGGGCTGAGCTCACACGATTTGGCGCGTTCATTGCTGGTCGCCAAACATGCGGACGTGGATGAATTATTGGCTGATATTATGGTGTTCGAACGAATACAGAAGGGACGAGCTGACGTTCACGTGGTCGACAAGCCGGGCTGGCGTCCCAAACCAACAAAGGAATTTGACAAGGGGGGACCCAAGACAGTGGTGAACCCAGTCAACGACAACACAACGTCAAATCAGGGCAGTAAGTCTACACCCGTGACTAAGAATATTAGAACGTCCAGCACCTTCAAGTGCTGGAATTGTCAAAAAAATGGTCACAGTCAACGTGATTGCCCAGAACCGCGACAGGTGAAACCCAAGTGTGAGAGCTGTCACTGGTCTGGTGGAAAGCACCATAGGGCGTGCACCGTGGCAACAACGAGTACAAGCGAAAGCACATACTGTACGTATCCGAAACCTCAGCACAATCTGGTAACGGATAGTGATAAAATACTACATGAAAAACGCGTTATAATTAATGGTATTAATGAATTGACCGGGCTCATCGATTCTGGCTCATCGGTGTGCATCATGAAGGAAAGTGTTGGTCGCCGCCTTGGTATATCTTGGACAAACAACGATTCGACGATTATGGGTTTCGGTGCCAACGCTGAGACAATGGCCATCGGGAAAGCTGTACTCAACCTACAGGTAGATGAGGCAACGCTTGACAATGTCGATGTCTATATTGTTCCAGATGTCAGCCACCCAGTCGATCTACTTATCGGTCGGCCGTGGTGCGAAGCACCCGAAATCTCTTACGTCAAGTACGAAAACACACTAACATATTATAACACTATCGCTTTTCCGTTTATCACCACCAGTGCAACCATCAACGATAGTACAACAGATCGATTGCTGTCACGTGAAACCAAACGACTTGAAGCACAAAAGATCACGTTAGTTACTGCAATGGTGAGTGGCAGGGAAATTCAAGTGCCAGTACGAAATCAAACTGAACAGGAAATAGAGATACGAGCCAACGAAGTGATTGCTCGGCGAGTTTCGATTGTACAGGCACCCCAAGTCGAACCAGAACAACTAAATCAACCACTAACGTATAGCGACATTGAAAAACCAGAAAGTCTGAACCCAGAACAACAAGTCGAGCTGTTGAACATACTAAATAAATATAGAACATGCTTTGCAACTTCAATGGATGAACTTGGTTGTACTAATATGGGGATGATGGATATCACCCTGAAGCCTAGTAGTGTACCGTATGCTGCCAAACCGTATCGTGTGTCTCGGGACGAGCGAGAAGAGATCCAACGGCATATACAAACATGGAGAGAACATGGCATTGTTGAGGATACAACGTCTCCCCATGCCGCACCTGTACTACTAGTCCGCAAGAAAAACGGCGAATCCCGGTTAGTAGTAGACTACCGTAAGTTAAATGATCAGACCGTGAAGCAAGTATATCCACTACCCAATATCGATGACTTACTAGAAGTAGTGTCGGGAAGCCAAATGTTTACAGTGTTGGATTTGGCCCATGGATATCTGCAGATCCCGCTGGCGGAGTCAGCAAGACCGTTAACTGGATTCATTACTCCTGATGGTACAGGGCAGTTTACACGGATGGTGTTTGGCCTAAAGAACGCCCCATTCGAATTTGCAAAAGTGATGGATCGCACTATTGGATCTTTAAAGAACAAGGTAGTTCTAAATTATTTTGATGATTATTTTATACCCGCCAAGGATTGGCCAGAGATGAAAGAACGACTTCACCACGTACTAAAGGCATTTACAGATGCGAAACTGACATTAAGACCTAGTAAGTGCAAGTTTGCGGCAAAAAGCATTGAATTTCTGGGGTACGTATTATCAGCTGATGGCCTTCGTCCAGGGCCCACCAAACTACGAGCGATAAGAGAATTTCCAACCCCACAGAAAGAGCATGACGTGCGCCGGTTCATGGGACTTGCAAACTTCTTCCGTCGCTTTGTACCAAAGTTTGCTGAAAAGGCTAGAGCCATCACCGACCTGACCAGAAAAGGAGTAGCATTTCAATGGAGCAAAGCGGAACAACAAGCATTTGAACAAGTCAAATCAAGTTTGCTCAACGAACCTGTTCTGGCGCTATTTGATGCTACTCGCCCAACTGAATTACACACGGACGCTTCCAGTCTGGGACTAGCAGGAATGCTGTTACAGGAAGACGACTCTGGTAAGTTACGCCTAGTACACTGTTTCAGTAAGAAGACTAATGAAGCCGAAAGTAAATACCACTCCAGCAAGCTAGAACTCATGGCCATAGTGTGGTCATTGGATCGACTAAGATCATGGCTAATTGGAATTCATGTCACAGTGGTGACAGACTGCCAAGCGTTAGTCTATATGAATGGCCTGAAAACGTCTAACTCTCAAATCACCCGGTGGTTCGATTTGATGCAGGAGTTTGATGTAGAAGTCAGACACCGAGCTGGTACAGCCATGGCTCATGTAGATGCACTGAGCCGAACCCCCACTGAGAACAGTACGGACACACTGGATGAGATTATAGCTAACCGCCTAGAAGTATTCACAACTCTCACTGAGGAACAGTATGTCAAGAGCATGCAGTATAGTGATTCTGAAATTATGGGTATAATCAAATCACTAGAGGGAGCTACACCGAGTAAGTTATTACTTAATAATTATGATGTAATAAACGGAGTGTTGTATAGGCGAGTACAGACTGCAGCTGGACCACGTCAACTCTGGATGGTGCCTAAATGTATGAGAAAAAGCTTAGCGATCAAGTTCCATGACCTCAGTGGTCACTTTGCAGTCGACAGAACGTATGCCAAAATTACAGAACGATATTACTTCCCACGGATGCGGAGGTATCTCAGAGTGCACATAGGAATGTGTCCTGAGTGTGCCCTATACAAGAAGTCAAGAGGGAGACAAGCTGGTATGCTGCACCCAATCAATCCAGGTGAACGTCCGTTCGAGACAATAAATATTGACCATTTAGGACCATTCCCGAAAAGTACCAAAGGTAATGCGTACATTCTGGTATTGGTTGACAACCTAACTAAATTTGTTAAATTGTACGCATCTAAGACAGTACAATCCACAGTAGTTGTAAAACAACTGAAAGATTTTGCTCTAAACTATGGATTACCCAAAAGGATCATTACGGATAGAGGAACATCATTCCAATCAGAACACTTCTGGCAGTACTGCAAGGCTAACGGGATCCAGCACCACCCAGTAGCTGTACGACATCCACGTGCAAATGGGCAAGTAGAGCGAGCTAACTCCACTGTGCTATCAGCAATATCAACTAGCATGATGACCGAAGCAACTTGGGATAAACATCTGGCTGAACTAGAGTTGATGCTGAACACTGCAATAAATCAAACTATTGGAGTTAGTCCTTTCTATGCATTATACGGATTCGATGCAGTGATTCGAGATGGTCTACTAGATACACTCACTACACTAACTCCAGCATATCAGAAACCAGCAGAAATCCAGCAACAAATACGCAAAGACATAGCAGAAAAGCAAGCCCAGTGGAAGGAACGGCATGACAAACACCGTAAAAACCAAACTTTATGTGTAGGGGAAATTGTCTACCTACGACGACCCCCGGTGTCCACCGGTACATCAACTAAGTTGCAGCCCAAGTACCGGGGACCAATGATAGTGACTGCTGTATGTGCTGGCGACACTTATAAAATTGCAGATCTACATCATGAAGGAAAACAATTATATGCTACTACAGCACACATTAGTGCCCTGAAGCGCTTCGCTACGGATCAAGGAGAAGGCAGTGAATCAGAACAATCCGACCAAGAGGGGCAGGACAGTGACGGTTCGGAAAAGCAAGCAGTAACCACAACGATGGCTGAGCCAGTGAGATCTGACTCTTTGGTACCATCTGCAGCGGACACTAATTCTAGTCAAAGAACCTCCAGTCGCAAGATTAAGAGACCTATCTACTTAAAAGATTATACTAATTAATATGTTCCTAAATTACCTATGTATGTTTTGTTACCCTGTTGATTTTTTTTTTACTTACTTGTATATTTATAATACTATGATATTTAATGATATTTATAATAATTATGTTTATGTTTATTATGTTTATAATTATGTTTACATTATGTGTTATGTTGGGCCGGGACGGCCAACAGTGCCAGGAAGGCCGAATTGTTAAAAATTAAGTTTAGTTAAGGAATTATGTAAGCAAAGAAAATTAATATTGAAGGTTGGACACACTGATAGACCTGAGATGGTCCCTACCACTGTGATCTCTATAATAAAAGACAGTTAATAACCGAACGTTGATGTGTTAAGTTCAACGCCTTTGTCCGCTTAATTAGTGTTCTAACACAAGTTATGATTGGAAGTATCCTTTTTAATTTTCATATTAAGCTATTATCTCTATTTTTTATTGATGTCACAAGACCATTGGTAATCCAGGGTTTTATCTTACGATTTTCCCTACTTGATTGGGACTTAGATACAATACAGTTGTTAATTGTGTCTAATATATTATTTATTAAAAATATTTATTGCTGTATTAGTATTATTGGTTTCAAATAATCCAGTCCATTGAATACAGGATAATAATCTAACTGCCTTGTTGTAATCGATGTATGATATTAAACTTAAATAATCGTCTATGTGTTTGTTGTTTACTTGTGAGTTTATTAAACTACCTATAATTGTATAATGATCGGTTATACTATTCTTAATTACTGCGGAAATGAGATTAACAGTTCTGCTAAATATGTGGTCAATACAAGAACTAGTTTCATAACTCACTCTAGATGCGTACATATTTGAGGAGAAAAACCGTTGGACGATAGTATATTTAAATAGTTTTTGGTTATAAGAGAAGTATTTTTTTTCTAATATGTCAATGTTTATATCACCAATCCATACACTTCCAAAACTTTAAACTCAACTGTGCCGCTGTGCCCCGGGATCCATACTAGTGAAATTTTGATTCCTGTCTGATATGCTAGGCTAGTTTTTTGAAGTATAAGTTTTGCTATATCTGTAGTGTTGAATGAGTTTTTGAGGCTCGTGAGTGATGAAAGTGAGTCTGACAGGATTAGATTGCTTTTGTGGGGGTTTCCATGATCGTGATTAAGTAATATGTGATCTACTGTATTGAGTATTTCTATGGCTTCTGCCGTGTATATAGAGTAGCTTTCGCGGAGTTTGAATCTGATGGAGAGGTCATGGTTAGTAATTGCGATTCCCACGCCTTTTCTAGATTTAGAGGCATCAGTGTAATAACAATTTGCATTTTTGTGATCTTGGAGTATTTCGTTTAAGTGATTTTTGTAAATCATGGGTGTAGTGTCCACTTTTTTGAATTTAGTTAAATCCAGGTTTATATCAATATTGAAGGCCCATGGGGGGAATTTGAAGGGTTGAACTTTCGTTATCGCATTGAATTCTATACCAGGGTCTTTAGCGTACTCGGTAATTTCTGTAGTGTATTTGTTTACTGGATTGCCAGAGTTTCTTGTGATGCTGGCAGCGTAGAGTAGTGATTTTTCTAAGTGTCTAAGCTCAGTAGGGGGTTCAAGTGCTAGGTTTCGAATGCTTTCTATGGGACTAGATCGGAAAGCTCCAATAGCGAATCTTAAGCTGGAGTTTATAGTAGAATCTATTATTCTTTTGTGGTGAGATTTGGCTGATTGGTAGATTGTTGCACCGTAGTCCATTTTTGCTCTGATGAGATGTCTGTGGATTTTTATGAGTGTTTCTTCGTCTCCTTCCCATGTGAAGTGGCTTATCATTTTCATGATGTTGAGACTTCTCGACAATGATATCTTGAGTTGTTTAAGGTGTTGTAACCAATTGATTTTTTTGTCGAAATAAACTCCGAGTATTTTAATTGTATTTACGTTTGGGATGAGGATGTCATTTAACTGGATGTTGATGTGCTTTTGGCCTCTTTTATTGGAGAATATGATGCATTGAGATTTAAGGCTGGAGATTTTGAAACCGGTGAGTGTTGACCATTTTGAGATGTTGTTTGCTGTATCTTGTAGGAAGTGTTGTACCGTTTTTAGATTAGGGCTTTTGCACCAGAAATTAAAGTCGTCTGCGAAAAGTTTTGCCTTTACAGGAAATGTTATGGTGTTAGTTATGTCATTTATTGCTAAAAGAAAGAGGGTAACCGATAATGACGAACCTTGAGGAATTCCATTTTGCTGGGAGTAGTTTTTTGATTGGGCATTTGAAAGAGAGATTGAGAATTGTCTTGAGTTAAGGTAGCATTTTATGTAGTTGAACATGTTGCCGTTTGTTAGAATTTTTGAAAGTAGCACTCGATGTCTCCATACCGAATCATAGGCTTTGGCAATGTCTATGCTTATCAAACTGAGGTACTGATTTGAGTTGAGTGCGTCGTTTACTTCTGACTTAATGATCGTAAGGCTGTCGATAGTGGATCTGTGTTTGCGGAAGCCACTTTGCAGGTCAGATAGAATTTTTGCTTTTTCCAGGAACCAAATCAGTCGAGAGTTCACTATTTTTTCGAGTATTTTAGCCATCGTGTTAAGGAGGGATATAGGCCTGTATCCTTCAGGTGAGTATTTGTCTTTACCTGGTTTTAAGATAGGAATTATATTGGCCATTTTCCATTTAACGGGGATCTGCCCTTTTTTCCATATGTGATTATAAATGTTGAGTAGGTGTTGCTTTGACGATGTGCCATGTTATGTAAAAAGCTATAAGGGATTGTGTCGGGGCCCGGGCTTTTACTATTGCATATTCTCAGAGTTTGTTCTAACTCATCCATTGTGATTTTGAGATTTAGGTTTATCTGATCTGGGTTATTGGGTTCGATGGATGACTTGATTTGTGAGATCTCATTAGGGATCTTTATTTCGTTTATAAATTTCGTATAATTTATCGCTAAAGTTTTCATGAAAGAATATTCCTATTGTATCTGCTACTACTGTTTGGTCAGTTATGGTACTCTGATTGGCTTTAATAACTATGTCGTTGTGACGTGATAAGCTTTTAATGATTTTATTTTTCTCCATACTTGTGATGGGCTCGTTTTTCCATTGATGGTGGATGTGTATATGTTCCATGATTCTCTTTTACTGTTTTTTATGAGGAATTTGCTTTTGGCTCTGAGTCTTTGGAGTTCGATAACATTTTCGGAGGTTTTATTTTTTTTGAAACTTGTTAGTGCTTTATTTTTATTAGATATTGCTTCTTTTATTTTTTCATTCCACCAGGGTACTCTGGGTTTTTTTGTTTGATTAGTTGTGCCTATTGTCATGTTTGCACTGTCAGTTATGAGGTTTGTGAAGGTTTGGGTTGTCTCTTCTATATCAATGATGTTGTGGTCAATAATCTTATTGGTTTTTCTTCTAGTAGGTCGGTATATAGGTTCCAATTTGGGTTTTTTAAATTCCATCTATGTTTATTTGAATGTTTATTATTTACTTGCCTATGTGATATTTTAATTTTGATTGGAATGTGGTCGCTACTATAAATTTCTGATAAAACTTCCCATTCGAGCCTCTGTGCAATTGATGGTGAGCTTAAGGAAAGGTCTATACAAGAAAAGTTGCCATTTCCAAAATGAATGTGAGTGGGAGTTGAGTCATTTAAAAGTACTAGATCTTCATTTCGTATGAGTTTTTCTACAGTTTTTCCTCTAGAATTGGTGGAGTTTGAGCCCCAAATTATATTATGTGAGTTAAAGTCGCCTACTAGTATAAAGGGCTTAGGGAGTTGACGTATAATATTTTCTAGATCTGGTAAAGAAAAATCCGTTTGATTTGGCAAGTAAATGTTGCATATAGAGAATTTTTCGTTGAGTTCTATGGATACAGCTATTGTTTCGAAATTACTATTTATTTTTATTTTTTTGGTTGGGATGTTTGATTTTGTGTATATTGTGACTCCTCCGCTGGCTCTATCCGATAATATTCTATTTTTGCTGAATCCTTCGTAATTTTTGAGGTGAGCTGTGAAGTTGTCTTTGAAATTTGTTTCTTGTAGGCATATAATTTGGGGGTCGTGGTTTTGGATGATGAGTTTAAGCTCTTCTTGTTTCTTGAAGAAGCCATTAAGGTTCCATTGAATTATTTTAGCCATTATCAACAGTATTCTTTTTTTTTTTTATTGGATCTTTTGGATTGATGGTCAAGAGTAGCAATAATTTCTATTATATGTTTAAATTGAGAAAAGTTTAAACTAGTATGATTGTGTTCATTGAAAATATGACTGATGGGATCAAGGTGGGTGTCCAGTTCCTTTGAAAAGCGTTTGCGCGAGTTTGAGCGAGAGCGGTTTTCTGGCTTGTTCGTTATTTCTGGCTGAGTGAAAGACGATACTTGATTCGTTGGAGTGTTATTAGATGTAGTAGTTTGTTCGATCGTTTTAATTTTTTTTGTGGTGGTGTTTTGGGTCTAAGAGGTTTGGCTCTTGTGAAGTTGAATGCAGGGGGCTGGTAGGGGCTGATGAAGATGTTGTTGGAGGAGCCTGTCGTTTGTGAGCTGATGTTTCGGTGACGATGTTCCAAGTTGGAGGCGTTTCGTCTGAGGTGATGAGCATTTGAGAACTGATAGTAGATTGGGAGATATCGATTTGGTAGATTTTTGATTTTCTGGCGTAGAATTATGTTCATATACATTTGTCTGTTGAGGTGAGGAGGAGATTTCCGTGTTATTTAGATTCGATTTTTTGCAAGTCAAGGGTGTGTGACCCGTAGATTTGCAAATGAAACAAGTTGTTTTGTCGTCAGTGAAGAAAATGCGGAATCGTGACTCGTTTGCAGAGATTAATAATGAGCTAGGGAGTTTTGGTATGTACATTACTTTATGTACATCTGACGACGAAAGCTGAGAATATGGTCGTACCCTTCCGCGAATATTCCAGCTTTGAGGTGGCTTATTTGAGAGACAGGTGTTATGTTGATAATTTTAAGTTGTTCTAGGATGATTTGGTTGTTAATAGACGGGCAGACATTAGATATTTAATCCTTTTGGCTGGGTTGTTTAATCTTCGGAATGGTAATTCCTGGTTATTTATTGTTATGAAGGGGTGCGTTTCTATTAAGTTATCTAAGATTTGTTTGCTGGATAAGAATATACAAAACCGGTTGTTAGAAATTCTAGACACAAATGTGATATTTTTAGGAGAGACTATTTTGCCAACTGCTAATACATAATCTTTTTGTGGGATGCCTTCAATAGAGTTGAAGACTATCGCCTGGTCTCTCGACGGTGTTTTGTCATTTGCGGCGATTGTTGCAAATGTGATACCAGTATTATTGTGTTGTGGAATATTTATGTTGCCAATGTTAATTGGAGACGACGGTGTCGATGGATAATTGAATACGGTGAAGTTTTTATCGATATGACTAATGGGATCGTTAGCGATAGAGGCATTATGCAATGTAGATAGTGCGGCGGAGGTACTGTGATTAGCAGCCGCGTTATCGCTCGCTAATGATGTACCAGGACTGGATTGTTGTTTTGCGATTTGATTGTTGAGTTTAGTTGGTGTTGTAATAATTTTGGAAGGCTTACTTGGAGGTTTGATAGTAATATTTTTTTTTTGTTTTTGGGCTGTTGCACCTATAATAGGAGGTTTTAACCTAGGTGAGGACCCTTTGGGGGGGTTGGCTGACATGCTGGGGGATTTAATGGTCAGATAATGTTCATATTACCTGAGACGATTTAAGTAAGATGTGCTATCGGAAGCTTGATAAATGCGAACTCGTGATACACACGTGTTAAACGTTCGAAGGTTGAACACGTACTGTATTATACACATTGTTTATCTCTTTTTCTAACAAAATTAATATTATCTATAAACTTTATTTTTATATATTATATTTGCCCTTACTAGCTTTATCTTTAGGTTACGTATTTTTGTCAGAGCCATATAATTCTATGATAATTATTATAGACTCATTATTATTTATTACCAAACATTTATCGAAAGCCCAACTATCAACAATATTTCGCTTATACCTGCACTTAAATACCTATTATGAATAGTAACACTAATAATAAATCAGTACTTGATAATAACATGGTAATTAGTATACTTGATTGTTCATTTGACGATCAAAACAACATAATATATAAACAAAACTCATTAAATATATTCGCCATGAATATCTGCAGTTTAGAAAAACATTTTGATGGACTATGTATTAGTATAGATAACATGGATATTGGATAGGTACCAAATTTGAAGTAATTATTCTAACGGAAGCTTGGTTGGGTCTTGAAAATGTATTGGTCAACAACTTCTCTATTACTGGTTATACAATACATTCAACAATCTATATATATAAAAATGAATGTATGTGTGTGTGTCCACATTACCATGGCAACCATATCTGTATATATAAAACAGTAAGCTGATTGACTGCTATCAACGCACAGCTCAAACCATTGGACGGATCTAGCTGAAATTTGGCATACAAATAGCTATTATGATGTAGACGCTAAGAAAGGATTTGCCAAAATTCGCATTTTAAATAGGTGCTCTAACAGGGACATTGAGATTCACGATAGAAATTGGAAATTTTATTTTTATTTATTTATAGTTGCCATTGGTTACAGCCTACATTAGAAATTAGCATTTATTTATTGGTTGCCATTGGTTATTCGGGCAGATCAGGTACAAGCTTGCATCAAATCGAATTATTGAACATTGCCTACCAGGGTGGCTGAGTTGCACTTACCGCAGCAAGTTACACCCAAAAGGAGTTCAACAATCATAATTTTTTTAAGAGTTGCGATTTTTTACGAGCAACCAAATTTGTTATATTAATCCACAGTATTATATCAAAATAAACTTGGTATAACTTTGATACTTTAGAGTTAAATCATACACTTCCGTACAAACAGGGTCCGCGATCTACCGCAGGTAGATTGCCTACCTGATAATGTACTGCTGCGATTCAGAATTTTTATTCCGGGCAACGGAAAAGATAAGATAAATTTTGAACACCATACACCGAATATTGAATAATGAATTGAACAAAGTTTGAGTCATATTGAGTTGATACATTTAACGGGCGACGAAGTGCACGGGATCAGCTAGTATATAATAAAAATCAAAACGATGGCATTATAGTACCTACACTAAAGAGATACTTTGTCCGGTGTCTCGATAACTGAGCCTATTACTAATGCACTAACGATTTTATAAATTACATTTAAATTTTCAAAAATCACCTTTGTATTCTACCCTATTTATATATCTCCCAACAGTGTTATCGGTATAGCTTTACAAGAACTGAAGGACATAATATTATGTAGTTCTAATTTAAAAATTGCTAAATACAAGATTATATTAGGTGATGTTAACATTGACATTCTTAAGCCATCAAGAATAAAATATGATTACCTGATGTTAATGGCTCAGTTTGATTTTACTCTTTTAATTAAAAACATTACTAGACCTGCCTCTTAGGATTTGAATTTTGAAAGGAACTTAGTCTCGTATACATTTTAATTATAATATAACGAGCCCATGGCTGATGAGCCTTTCACTGATAAATTATTTAACTAAAAGCTGTTTTTGAATAAATCTGGCTTATCAAATCTATCCTTGTTAAGAATAAAACTGTAAAATGAATTTCCAATATGAGTATACTTGGATGTGGCACATATAACGCAATTAAATTATTTTTATAAAGTAATTAACATTCTCATAAAATTAATAGATATTACACAACAATAATTACACCCTGATTATCTAAAAACATGATGACACAACAATTTATATGTACACCACAATTCATCTGACGTAATAAAAATGGCATCTCGATCATCCATGAACAATATAATACAATAATCGTCCAATTACAAACACATACCAATATTATATGGAAGAACATACAACACAATTCAGATATTGAGCAACAAAGTGGGGACTACAAACTTCAATACACTCTATATAACCAACACCTCCACAGAGAAGTAAGCTCTCTCGGATCACTTGTTAGCGGGTCTCGGAATACTCGTTTGCGGATCTGGGTATGCACACGTCTCTCTTCATATAGGTACTCTGAAGATATTCTACATTTCTACGGACACTCTTCGGATTACTTGGATTATTCAGACGGACTTATTCTCGGATCAATAATTGTTCCACGGCAACACGATGTTTTGAAGCATGTTATGTTGTAATCAGAAACTCCGTGAATTGGCCGAATCAGGCGATTGCGGCCTTGAACACGGTCTCCAGGGGTGCGTGGCATACGGGAAATAGGGAATGGTAAACAAGCCGACCCGGCGCAGCCTATCCCGTCTACTATGCGGTTAACAATTATATAATCCTAAATACCTATGTATTTATATGTACACAACTACAAAGGCTAGGAAAATACAATTTTCATATGGTTTTTATGCATATTTCCCGATTTTCATGGGATTTTTATTCCTGTTTAATATTTTCTAAAAAAATTTAAGTTTTCTTTTCTTTTCTTTCCAATATTATAACGTACTAGTCACCATACCGTACCGTAAGCATACCGTCGCTATATCGATTATATTATATTATATTATCTTTATTGCACTAAGGGCTAACACTAATAATATTATTTTTTGTATAAAACTCGTTTTAATTTACCAGTTTTTAATATTTCTATGAATAAATAAAAATACAGGATAAGTAATTGCCACGGGCCATATAATATGGAATGTGGGGTGATTCAATATACATATATACGCATTCCTTTTACACACACAGCGACACATGCAACAAATAAAATATAATATTTAACACCTCTCTGATCAGACTTTAAAAACACAGAACAATATAGAAGCGACACTCGATCAGCTGGTCGGGTTTGTGTATCCCTACGGTATGAAGTATTAAACTCAAAAAATTGTACCGTATCCGTAATCTGATAAGTTGTTGGTAACGTGTATCCCTTATTTGTAAAATATTATAAATATATGTAAGATATTATAAAAACGGAAACAATCCATTGACCACGGACGACGACTGATTTAATTTATTCAAAGTTTTTTATGCATTGTATTGTTAGTTTCAGTATAATGCTATACATTTAAATATGAAATATGATTAAATATTATAATATTAATATTTGACATTTTTCAAATAATTTATAATATTGAAAAACCCCCCTATTGAAAAATCCGGCGGACGCCACTGATCACAATGACCTACACAACGACAATAGCGCACTACATTTAAAAAAAAGTAGCTTTAGCGATAGCGAGCTAATCTTTGGGGGGAGTAGCAGTAGCATTAGAGTGCTACAAAAAAAACAGTAGCGTCCCCACCACTGCCTATAAGTATACCAATATAAATCACAAGGCTAGTGACAATTAGCTACATAATGAATAATGATTGTGGGAATAATAATAAATAAATAAAAAAAATGTATTATAATAACAAATAGTCATTATTTATTTTTCCTAAATGTGTTTTTGTATGTATACAACTGTATTATTAAGTTGCTAAGAAATTTATTATTCAAATACAAAAAGGGTTCCTATATAACTAATAACTCATGCATATACAACTTGAATTTTTAATGTGTTTCATTTCACCATAATATTGTAGTTAACATTTGAACAGTAAAATGAACAGTTTAGTAGTGTTTAATAATTGTATTGTTTTATTTCATATATTCATTTGGGTCAACCCAACTACAGCAGTTAGTGGTAAATATAAAAATAACCAAAATTATATTCTTGATTATTTGATGAATTTTACATTTCAAAAAATTGTTATTATAGTTTTCTTTTTTTCCAATTAATTTATGTGCATACGTATTATGATAGAAACCTAATTCTTTTGGATCTTGCAATCTTAAAAATTAATTTAAACTTATTCAAATTATGTTGGTTTGAATATAATTAAAAAGTTCTATATTGTAATATGTGTGGGTTAGTAATTTTTAATCATCATAATGTTTCACTTTCGATCCCCCAACGTCCATCTAGATCTGATATTCAACATTTTTTTATGGTCAATTAAAGTTCTAATGTTTATGACATTGAAAATTTCATTTAAATGTCTTGATATCGTTCAACTATATTTTAGTCATTTCTTTTTAGCTTTTTATTCAATTAAATACATTTTTCAATAGGTAGGTAAGACAAAAGCTTATAAATTTCGATTATCATAAAATGTATAAATTCAACGGATTTCTTCCACCTTGATTACAATCTTCTTTGATATTTAAAAAAATCTTTATTACTATAATTTCGTACTATGGACTATATTGTCATGGATCTTGGTTTCAAGCTAAGCTGCAATCTTGACCCAACTGCTCACATCGAGTACGTGTGTTGTAAAGCTTTGAAAACTCTTGCTCTTGTCATCAGATTAATAAAGGACCTTCGGCTTGAATCGTCATTAAAAATACTTTTCTGTGCGCTTGTGCGCCCCATTTTAGAATATGGGACTCTCATACTGCAGATAATGCAAGGCAAATTGAGCATGTTCAGAGCCGGTTCCTACGCTATGCTAGTCATATACTTAAGATACCTTGTGCACCTCATAACTATACACCGATTGCTATTCATCTAGGTATGGCCTCCTTAGCTGAAAGTCGCCGTGTCGCAGGTATTAAATTCCTAGCGGGTCTTTTAAACAATAATATAGATTCTTCAGTCCTTCTCTCTCAAATCTCCATTAAAGTTCCATCCCGTCCATCCCGCTCAAAGGCCCTCTTCTATGTCCCGCACCCCACCACCAACTATATGGCTAATGAGCCTTTAAGACGCCTAATGTCGTCTGCCAATGCTGAGCCTTCCTTCGACGATTTACTAATTTTTTAACATATATATTCAACATAAATTATTATTGTCATCTGAAAATTGAATTTATATTAATGAAACTGTACATATTTAATTTAATTTTTGCTTATTGTAAAAATGTCTGATATAAAATTATAACTAATAAATAAATAAATAATGATTTACATTTCTTTAAGGAAATTATGGGGTTAATGATACCTCCTAGCCTTATATCTTGATGACTCTAACTGTAAACTACCTCTAAACTGTCTAAACCTTTCTGACCTTATCCCACTTAATTTCTTATGCATGAAATGCTTCAATTACAAATATTGATCGTAAAGACTTACTTCCCACGCCAACTGTTCTGGAAAAGTGGAAAACCCACAACATTGTTTACAGTTTATATGCACTGTCTTATTTTTCCAAAATAATCAATCTATTAATCATTTATATTAGAACTGGAGATTTGTTTTTTCATTGCCTAATCATGAATTAAGATGATTAATATGTATTTCATTAGTAAAATATTGGCTCGAATACAAAAAAATAGCAATCGTTAGAATACAATTTATAATTATTTTTTGAAATAGTGAATTAATAACAAAAATACCATAAATCAAGTTATACTTTCAAAACTATTCAGCAATAATTCATATTTTGTTATGGTCAACAGACTTCTATTCTAAACTCTGTTAAAAGTGAAATCATTTCCTGGCGGCGACCAGTTTTCTTTCCTCGGCGTCAGATGCCGTTCCCATTATAGTGGCACCGTTTTCATAATATTGATAACCACGGGTCTAACATCATGTTGGTGCGTGGAACCGTTTTCATGTTTTTCGTAGGTTCAGACTTCAGATCATAGGTAACAAGACCCCAATCAGCTGATCGAGTTTCGCTTCAATATTGTTCTATGATAGTGGAGAGCAGTGTTGGTCATGTAGAGAAGCCACGCCCACGCGCAATACTCATGATATCATTTGGAACAGAGTATACACTATAGTCTGTTCAAAATGAGATCGGTACGGGCGGCCAAATAGTGCGCATGCCCGTGGCTTTGTTCCATGGCAGCTCCCGACGCATCGTCGTAGTGCGGATGGCGTCTGACCAATGACCATATGTCTGACCGCCACCGACGAAAACTGGTCGCCGCCGTGTACCGATCTCATTTTGAACGGATTATATAGAAGGAAATAATGCAAACAAATTAATATTATTTCACCGTTTTCACGGTTCAAATTTGCACAGATAATTAAATAATACCTACATCTTAGGTTTAAGTATATCACCTAACTAGCTTGTTCTAAATATAGTATACTATAGAAAAAGTATAAAATTAAATATTATTTTTTGTATTTTTAGGAATTGGTGATTCATCATGTAGGTATTCAGGTAATTTTGATAGTGGTAATGAAAAATGTCACGAAGATATAGTGAAGATAGAAAAACTTCCAAAAGAATGCACATCTTTTGTTTTTGATGGAGTTATATGTAATAATGATTATGAAATCGTGTATAGATGGATACCAGAAGATATAGGTAATAAACCATTTATTATTAATATTAGTAGGTATTCCTAGTTCTATTTATATCACATTATAATTTTTAGAATAAATAAGGTATACTAAAAATACAATTTTTAATTGTTTTGTAGCGTTAAATTTGTAGTCTGAGATAGTAAATCAGTATTATTTTATTTTATAGATGTAATAAGTAATGATTAAAACTAAGAATATTCTCAGTATAAGTGATAATTGCCATGAACAATGCCTTTGCTTTATATAAATTGATTGTCGATAAGCCGTCGTTGTCGTAATCGCAATTACTTGAAATGTTAGTGATTTGTTACAACCTACCTCTGAGTGTTAATCTTATTTGATCAAAAAAGTGTGTTACAAGCAATTTATATCATCCATCCTGAAGCTAAAAATAAAATAAGTATTGGTAATAAAAAATAGTTATCCTAGACTTAAATACACCTTTTCTAAGGGGTTATTGAATAAATAATTAAAAAATCTAGATACAATTAGGTTTTTAAATATTTATATTAAACTGTTAATTAAGTATATTATACACGTCACTAGAGGTTAAATAGTTTTCAAAGTGAAGATAATATAACAAAAATAAACAACTAATTTTTTTATTTTATGGAATTAGTTGAGATATTTTATTAGTGATAACTGATAAGTGAAAACATTTATTTTTCTTACTATATATTTTTCATTTTTATATATATTATATACTAACCGATCCCGTGCACTCTGTTGCCCGTATAAAATGGCAACTCTTAAAAAAATTATGATTGTTCAACTCCTTTTGGGTGTATAACTCAAAAGTGTGTAACTCGGCCACCCTGGTGGCTGCAGGTATGCAATCCGACTACGTCGGATCACGGACAATTTTTTATAACAATTTAAAAATTATTAAACACTTGGGATTTTTTTTCTGAACATTTTGAAAATCAAATGATTCATTTTGGTTAGCCAGTTTCCAAACTATGGTCCTCTAAACTTTAGTACAATATTTTTTTAGATTCTGAGTGAAACGATAATGAATGTATTGATTTTACGATGATGTGTGTGTTTTTTTTTATTTTTATTTTTTTATTTTTGTGTCTGCCATCACCTTTTAGGACAGTAAAAATGCTTAGATTTTCTTCAACAAAATCTTTTCTGATAGGAAAGTGTATCTAGTTGGTACTTTGGGGTAGTCAAAACTCAAACTACCAAGTAGTTTTCAAAACCACCTTGAAAAACAAAAGAAAAATTAAGGAATAACGGGAAATTTTAAACAAAATCTGTTTTCGAGAAAATCAATTTACAAAACCAAATTACATGAAATAACATGAATGTACATGAAATTTTGACCGAATGTTTATATTAGCTATTTCTATACACCATAACATCTTCCAAATATTTTGACTTATTTTGAGCTGTTTACTGAAATTTTCAGTTTCCATTTTTTTTAGTTTTTTTTTATAAATATCAATAAAATTTTATTTGTTGGTCAAAAAGGCTTGAAAATTTAATAGAAGGCTCCCAGTATATTGTTTCAAAGGCAGATGAAAAAAATTATAAACCCATAATCAAAATTTTTTTTATAAGCTTTTAAAGTTCAAATATTGACGAAATACATAAAAATGATGAAAATTTGCAAATTATTTTGAGTTAAAATTCATGAAAAGTGTTCTTTTTAAATCTAAGATTGTAAAATGTAATAAAATATTCCTCATAAGTTTGTCAATTTTTATCAATAAAAAATTTATAAAAGAAAGTCAAATTAACTTTTTATGAGCGTTTGAAATTCATATTTTTACAATATTAATTGATATTCACTCGATATCTCATGTAACGGTTTCCTTATTTTGTTGTAATTAAAAAACGAATGACTGTAGATACTTGAAAATTTCACTGAGTGTTTATATTAGCCTTTTATATACACCACACAATTTTGAAAATAATTTGACTCTTTTTGAATGTTTACGGACATTTTCAGTTATAAATTATCTTAGTTTATTTTTCTATAAATATCAATAAAATTTTATTTGTTTGGTAAAAAAGCATGAAAATTTAATGCAAGACTCCTGATTTATTGTTACAATAGTTGTGAAAAAATATTAAAAATATATAGGAACAATTTATTTTTATAAGCATTTAACGTACGAATTTCGACAAAATTTATCAAATTATAAATTTTATAATTATTGTGTAGTTAAAAATGTATACAAGGTTCCACGTAAATAGGTTATATATAAACTACTTTATTCACAATAATATCATCAAATATACTTAGTAATATCTTACGCTGTCTGACCGTCTTAGCTCAGAATCGTTTTTCTTATACAAAGATATTATATCATTGAATTCAAAATTAACACCGTCCATTACAGTGACACACTTGTAACCTACCCCAGACATAATATAAACAAATTTCAAATTTTAAGCTTTTACCACTACGAGAAGAGCACCTAAAAACATTGCATTTTTTTCATTACACATTTGATTCTTAACCCCCATACATAAGATGTATTAATGTCAACACCATTACCATAGCCACCTAAAATAAGAATTCAAATTTATGCTACTGTAAAAAAAGTCTGTGAAGAAAAAAGTTAATTAATTAATAAAAGATAAATTAGACATATACCAACTAATTCAATTAAAAGTATTAATGCATATTTTTAAAATATTATTTTACTTAAGTTTAGAGGACCATATAGTTAAGAAACTAACTAACCAAAAAGAATGATTTGACTATCAACATTTTCAGAAAAAAAGCTTAAAAAAGATTAAAAAAAATTAAGTTGATTTTGCTATTATTACACCTGCGTTTTAAATTGTTTTTAATTTTTATAAAAAACTGTATGTTAAAAATAAAGAAACACGTCTTTTTTTGTTTATCCAAAATCCCATATCATCGATCTATAATCGTCAAAAAAACCCGAGTACAATACACCCTGTATAATGAATTTTATTATGTTGTCAAATGTACAATTTAGAAAATAAAGGCTAATATCTAAAATAATAATTTGTTTTATTTAATTATAAAAGTTGACTTTTTTATAACGAATAAATGGAATTTTAATTATGGTAAAATAAAAGTGTTCTCTAAACTATTGGAAGCATTAGGAAAATATACATTTTGGAGTAAGTATCACTTTTGACGAGAAAAAGTAAATTTTCTAATTAGTTGGCTTAACATTTTTTTTTAACAATGAGTAAAAGGAAAATGAGAAAAAAATTGTCTCCAAAATGTGTGTATCAACATTTGTAATATATTATAATAAAACGATATCGTTTGTGGAAGGAGAGATCTTTATTTTATGTGTAAATATCGAATTTCTAATATAAAAATATTTATTGTATCCTCATGTTAAACTTTTATTATTTTTATTTTGAGTAATTGTGTGGGTAACTTCTCGTCTAATCTGCTGTACATTAGTTGTCAAGTGTACCTTGTCGTTGAGTAAATCACTGTGTTTTTTGTGTTAGATTTGAACTCAATGATAAATCAGTGCATAAAAAAATAATTCTAAGCAAAGAAAATGTGTCAGCCTGTATGACTGAGTATAATACATTTATTTTGTTACTGAAGTAAATTATTTTGCTTTTAGCAGTTTTGTAGTAGGCAGATTTAATTTTTCTGAAATTAGGGCATTTACTATATTATAATATTTAATTCAGTTCAATCATCGCAATAAAAAAAACCAAAACGGTTCTGTCCTCGCCCTCTAGCACATCACAAAAAAAAGAAAAAGAAACAAGTCTTTTGATTCACTAAATCGATACACGGCATTAATCAAAGCAGGCAGCGAGATCGAAATCGAGGTACTTAACTACCTAACAATAACTCAGTTGACTGAGAGCAACTACCTCAAACTGACTTCACATATAAGCCTACTCGAATTCCGGCGATCTACATAAATAACGTCACCAATTTCTCAATATTCAACAATAAACTAATACAAATCACAGCTGGAATGAACAATATTTCATTTAAGTCCACACCGTCATTTCTTATAGTCCGGCCCAAAAACCGCATAACCTACAATATAATAATTGATTACTTAATCAAAATCGATGCAACATTTAACTCCTTCGGGCCAAACTGCAAACTCCAGTACAAGGTAGTAATCAGAAAATCTCCATCATTATACAATCACAACTGATATTTCAGACGCCCTCGCCGAACTAGGACACTCGGCTACGCACGTAGTAAATATCAAAAATTACCATCGCCCTTTACCACTGTTTCGCGACTTCGCGTATAACTGGCTCTTAAAGAAAACAACAAAGAAATCCTCGGGATTAAAACTCTTCTTGATCGAATAACCACATGTAAAACGCAATATAGTCTGCCCCAATGCTACACATTTCAAGCTTATGAGTTATGACCATTCGCGCAACTACTGCAGTCAACAACGCAGGTGTGTTAAATACGGAGATGATCACTTAACTGAAAAGTGCAAAAAAAATAGTAGCCCTCAGCTAGATGTGCACTATACTTTGGTGCACACACAGCTTCATTTAAAAGTTGTATAATTTACAAAAAATTGACAGGACCCACAGACAAACCGTTGAATAAAAGAAGAAATTATGCTATTCACTGAGTCAAAATGTTTTGAAAAGGCATTGAGTACCTATATACAATTTAAAATTATAATTTATAAGTAAAAGTTTCAAATCACCATGACAATACTTCTGAAGTACAACAATAATATAAGTACCTACCTAATATATAACTTTAATTGATATTCATCGTTTAAATATACATGTAATTTCATGAAGTAATATTATAATAATTATAGATGCTATAAAACACAGTAATATACTAATATAGTGTCATTAGTTTTAAGCAAAAATAAGTGTAACATGTTCCAACGGTATAACTAATAAAAAAATAAACAATCAAATTATGATCCACGGTAATTAAAAGTACATTTTTTTTTTATAGAACACTTACAATTACTCGTAGATTTTGAGAATGGTGCACACAATGTGTACTTATTTTATAAACATCGAACCACAAGTGATTGGTCAAATGCACTTTATTTTGGAGATTTTTCAACCGAAGCACAAAGCGTGCACGATTTTATTGGTCTACATGCTGTGAAGGGGTTGATTTTGGATGGAATGGAAGATCCTGTTTTAACTGAAGTACAGTATATTACGGATAATTTTATATAAGTATGCCTAAATGTACATTTATAATAGATTTATTATAACTAATTACTAATCAGAATCATAGACTTTATCACTGAGAAAAATGTGATATATTTTCAAAAAAATATTTGATTTAGTATTTTGGATTCAGTAGTCGTTTTCACTAAACTTCAGTGGAAGAGGGAGTGAATTTATTACTGTGGCACAAATAAATATGCCATACAAATATTTTTCATTATGTTGCCGTAGACTTATTAAGAGTACCTACCTATCAGTACCAAGGCTGGGCAAGTTAACTATTTTTTTAACTCGTTCAGTTAAGTTTATATAGAAAAATGTAGGTTAAGGTTAAAGTTAAAAGTTAACTTTATTTTTTTTAACTTGTAAAAATTACAAGTTAATTATAAAATAAAAATAAGTTACTTTTTTATTTTTTTAAACAAAATAATAATTATACCTACCTACCTTTTTTAAAGCCAACAAATAACATAATAATTCAATAAATCAATAAATGTCTTACAATTTTTAAATAAATGTTGGTAATAAAATAAGTTACTGTAGGTACTTATATTTGTATAAATAACTTTACTCAATGATGAAATCCAATAAAATAATTAAATTATTTTTATGTATTTGTTAACATAAATGGTCCACAATACTATACTAGATATTGTTATAATCAAATTCACTATTATTTATTAGAATATAATATATTAATATCAAATATTATGCAATTAATACTAAGAATTTAGAAATACGTAAATACGATGAACTACCACGCTACGACGGGTATTATACTATTATTTACACCGAGGGGCCAAGTTATTGCTGTAATTCTATGAATAAATACAATTAATATAATAATATTAATAATGATTTGGTATAGTGTATAGGTTAGGTTATAATATGTCGTGTATGGGTAGGTACTGAGTAAATGGTTATATTTTTCATATAAATGACGAGGTAACAACTATAACATTTCCGTCTATAATATATAGTTGTATAATATTTTCTGTGAATATGCAATATAATAACTTACTATTATTATAAATTATTATTTACTAAAATATATTTAATATTTCGGGTTTTTTTTTATTTAGTTAATTTTATAAAATTGAATTTATTTTAAATATGTGGTTTGGGAAAAATTAACTTAACGTGCCAATAAAATGAATTAACTCGTTAAGTTACTGAATAACATGGGGAAATTGTAATTCGTTTAGTTAGAAGTTACCTCAAAAAAAAAAAAGTAACTTGTTAATTAACTTAGTTAAAAGTAACTTAACTTTTTAAATTAAATTAAATTAACTCGTTAATGCACAGCATTGATAGGTACTTGGTGACACTCGAATTTCTTCCCACATTTAGGTAGGTAATTTCCTCCCATAGCATATCTAAATTATTGATTAATTTATTGATAGTTTTAGGTGATTTATTATTAAATCTATTCTTATATCTATTATTATATCTAATATATTATTAACTATTATTAAACTACTAGGTATTATTAAATCGATTTTCGTAATGTTCAAAAATATTATTTTTAAGAAGTACAATATTTACCTGACCAATTAGTTATATATCTAATAATAATAAAATATAACTAAGTTTTCGTTTGATCTATTTTGCCAAAATTACAATTTGTTTGGGAAATTTATCATAATGCATTTAGGTAAGTGATTTTTAAAGGGTCAGATGGGAGGCAATTCGAGAGTACCCAGCAGAGCATATTTTCAGTAATTTTCACTGGATGGCACTTCAATAAAATTGTTTACCAGATGAACATAGAAGGGAAATAAACTCTTCTATCTCAACAATTTTAATATAGGTTTATTAACTGAACTCTACTGAAAAATATATCTACAAGTTTTATATAGGTTTATCTCTACTGAGACATATATCAACATAACCGATTTTTCAATTATACAACCTGATAAATAAGTAAAACAGACTATATATTATATAGGTAAAGCTATCAGTATCTGTATTTTAAAAAAATATATACTAAAATTTAAAATTGCATGTTTGAATCAATGAAAAAAAATGTTTGTATAACTTCTTGATTCTTGTACCTATAGATCTGGGTCAGGTAGTTTCCTCCTTCTCTCCTTAGACTCCAGAAACTTAGCAACTGCAGGCCTGGGGTCAATCAGTGCTGTTGTAATCCCAATGAGAGCGATATACATTCTTGAATTTATAGCTTTTCTTGAATAACTCGATTGTTTGTTAGTTAGGTACTATATAGCAAATAATATATTGAGGTTTTAACGAATTTAACGAGGTGCGGCCATGGTGTTGCATTTAAATCATTAAATTCGATCGACAATCACAATCCATGTGAGGAGGACGGCGTATAACCAGGCTGGTCACCAAACAATTTTAACATAATTTTTTTTCTCCAATTATTTTAAAAGGAATTGAGCATTTTCAATTTGGACCTGGACAATAGGGCATCGAAGTTTATGATCAGAGCAATGTTTCTAACAGAAAAGTTTAGAAGTTAGTAGTTACAAACATTTTAAAATACTTCAAATAAACGTTTGAAATTATAAGACTGATTAAAATAAAAATAAAATTGCAACTAATTTTCAAGAAACCCCCCCCCCCCATTGAAAAATCCTGCGTAGGTACGCCACTGTCGGAGTAGGTATCATATTAGACGAGTAGGTACCTATAAATTATAAGTATTTCCTTGATGTGAATTAATATGAATACTCCTAATTAATTGTATAAACGTAATATAAAATGTACCTGTACCGTGTATGGTTAGGTTAGGTTATGTATGTCTTATTCATCAGGAACACAGGACGCAAATAAGTAGAAAATCAGAAATGTAGTAACAAAGCACGTTATTCGTACCCATCCTTCAATTTATGAAGACGATGACGATTGACGACTTCCGAAGAAATTGATAATATTGTTAAAATTACGTGTATTATTTTCGTAAGACATTACATTAGATTTTCTATATCTATTCATATTTTATATCAATATATAATTTATAAATAAACAATTCCGGCAAAGCATTGAGGCTTGTGACATGTTCTACATTCAATAAAATATTATTGTTTGTTATATAATATGGGATAAACTATACAAGATTCGAGAGATTAAAATAGTTTTATATTCTTTATATATTATTATATACATAGTAATTAATAATTGACATTGGCATCGGTCGTTATGAGAATGTGTTGGTCAGTGACACGATCACCCACCACTGGGTAGCATTCAAATATCACTCGGGGGGAGGGGGGCACAGCACTAGTGCCACGTACTTTGTATGTTAAAATATGCTCTGGTACCCAGGTACTTGATACTACGTAGGTACTATTCATATAACATATTATGTGGACTGCCTATAACGAGAGAAAAAATTACCCAACTATATAATAAGTACCCTAGGAAAATTACGATTAATCGATATGAAATAAGATCATAGGCTCAAATCCATCCAAATTTCTGAGGAGGGCTAACATTTTTAACTTAAAGGTGAGTGGTAGGGCTCCGATCCCATACAACTAAAAAATGGTTTAGGTATTTGTTTTGAGATGGGGGGGGGGCGGGGGCTGATCCCACTTAGCACCCTACGATCTGTGCCTATGGTATAAGAGGAATTAATGTTTTTTTTTATCGCAAACACGGGAAGGAATTGGATTTGATTTACTTTTCCATGTACCACATAATATTGTATCGACATCAGCGATCACAATGTGACATTTGCTTACAATAAGCTAAATAAGCACTAACTTTTTTATTTCAGACTTCGGCATACAATAAATGTTTTAGATTGATCAGTTCTGCCTCTCGATGCTGTCTTTCATATTTTTTCTTCTGGATTAGATCATCAGACAACTACTGAACAGCTAGATAATTGGTTTCTGATTTTAGCATATTGTTCTGTATTGTTTTTTGCCCAACTACTTAAGCTGCTCAGCAAACGTCACTGACAAACTGAGTCCAAAAGTGCTCCAAATGTATTTTATGTGTTTATCCAACCTATTGACCAGGAGCCTGTCCATGAATTCCCCAACATTATTCGGTTTACACGGTGGTCTGCATGAAGACGGAATCCCTTCAGGCTTCTTGACTATTCAGAAGAGGATTAACTGATCTCACTACCATTGCTTTGGGAAGTCCCCCCTCTGATACATGAATTGAATATATCTGTCAGATGTAGAAATATTATCAATTTTTATTTTATAAAAAGGCGTTTGTATTAGCCTAGTAAATGTTTTAATTACTTATAATTTAGTTTTCTCGGTAATTAATACATACATTGATATATTTACATTTTCAAAAATCATTTTATAATTTCGTAATTAAATATTATTATTTTATACTTATTTAATAATAATTAATTTATCTTTAGGATGGTGGCGGCGACTTCCACAAGAACCTTACAGCCTATGTAAAGGTTATTAAAGATAAAAATCCAAATTTGGAAATTGGGTTTTATTTGAGTGCTAGACTTTTCATAATAAATTTAAATATGGGAAGCAATTCAACTTGTAAGTGGATAAATTAAAATAAAATTAGTAGAAGTATGATTACTTGGTTGGATCTGTAATAGCACCATATGTTTTAATTTATAATTTATGTTATTTTTGAGATAAAACAGTTATATATTTATTATACAACCAATAACATATAAATCTATTATAATAATATGTCATGTTTTGCGTATTAGGGTTTGATTTTTGTTTGATGAATGATGTTTTTGATTTCTATGTCATTGAATTTGCTACTTTTAATGAATGTTCTGATGAATTCTTACATGGTGGAGTTACTCCTCTTGATTCAAAAAATCCAGATGCTATGACATTAGTAAGAATAGTATCATAAACTTGAGTCAAAAATTAAGATTAAAAATATTATGTTTTTTCAGAATAAATTTGCAGCTGTTTTAAAACAATCTACCATTGACAAAGAAAAACTTTATTTTGAATTTTTAATAAGCCCTGAACCGAAACCTGAAGAAATAGACAATTTTAAGCATTGTGAATTATCGTATAACGAGGTATAAACATTTAAATTTAAAACATTCATCAGTTAAAATAATTATAGAGATCGTATTATAGTATTTATCGGTACAAAAATCTAATGTCAATTTAAATGGCTGGAGACATAAAATAATATGTATATAATGTATACCTGGTTACCAATGTACTTCGTGTACTTATCTACTACACTGACTGGATATCATAACATAAAATATAAATGTGTATTTGGTGTATAGTAGTATGAGTAACTCAATGCATGGCCATACTTGTGGGGAGGGGGGGTGTCCAGGGGTCCAGAGAGTTTTTTCTGTTACAGCCTTGACTAAATGTCTCAATGGGCAGTAGATGGGATTTGTAGGTACTTAAATACCAATGAATTACGAAATTACGTTATGATTTATGAATAATGAATATGTGTATGAAGGGTGGAATTATAGATTTATATAGTATGTAGTTCGATCGTGCCTTCCTAATGTTAATCTGCCTAACGCTTAAATTTAACCTACTAAGATGTTTTTCTCCGCCAAAGATCTTTAAAACATAGATAGGACATATAAATCTTTAAATCTTATCAACGGTAATAATGTGATTCAAATTGAAGTCAAATAAATATACCTAAAATGAGTATTAATAATCAATGTAGATATATATAATATAATCATGTCATACAGAAATGTAAGCAAACGGCCTTAAGTTCTCATCAGTTCAAGATTGTAAAACCTCAAATATGAATGATGTGATGTCCTATCCATATTTGGCATATTTATAAGATCTATTATAGTCTCGGCCAAAAATCGTCAATCGAGCAACTAAACCACTTCTACTCAGTGACGAACACTGCATTAAATATTGTATAGTTCCTAATTTGTATGAATTGTTGCTTATTAAACATTAAATCGTTTATTCTTACGCAACCGGTGTGTATATACCATTGTACTCATTTAGGTATAAATTGTTTGAATTTAATCTTTTATTCAAAGAAAATATGAATACTATTATCAACAAATATTAATAAATGTATGAGACATGTGTCTTTTGTACAGATAACTACATATAATATGTACTAAAACATAACCAAAATCGATATGACTGCAGTTTATTAAAAATACATAAATACTATAAATAATAAAGCTTAAATCATAGGTATTCTATGCACCCATGTAACAATAATTTGAAGCACATAATATGACCGACAAGTCTCTAAATTAGACAGAAAAACGACACGTGCGCAAAGAGAAATGTCACATATTTATCTATTTGAATTGATATTCTTTTAAAAATTTAAATCAATCAGTGTTCAACGGCTAAATATGACCTCATGTATTCGTACATCAAGCATCATATTCAGAAACTCCTTGTTTATATTATGTGCGTCAAATTATTCATATGGCAACATAACAACATTGCTTCATCCACTGTATATGATCTAAAGTACAATTATATAAATATATTTATATCTTATTCAATTACGGTCTGCTTTTTTATTATAGGCTTATAGGTGTTGCACGTCTAGGGTTGGTAAAAATTAAAAAGTATAAGGAAGTTTCATGAGTAAGAAATTAGTGATGACTGATGAGGTTTGTTGATAAGGGTTTGTAAAAGACTTGGCGTTTTGGTGGTTTCGTTTCAAATGTGGTAATGTTTGAGTGTCTCGCAATCTCTCATCCCTGCCCCCGTGTAAATTTAGCAATTTAACGGGCTTGTACCAGGTTTTTTTTTTGTATGTATAACATTTTTAAATCTAAGGTTGTGATGGAGTATTTAGCAAGTCAGTCACTTCAAGTCAAATTGGATTTACATCCAACTTAGTCATTTAATTAGGCAATCCGACTGCGTCACAATAATATTACAAATAAGACTGGATTTGATACATTTTCAATTTGAAAATACTGGTGGTACTGATGCACACCGAATTGACAAGACTGACGGACTTACCCCCGTTCCAAATAATGATTCACATAAAAACAAACAAATATTTGGTATGGGACACGCTGCATGGTGGCAGCTAGTATAATATAAAATAATATACTTTCCCATAGTCTGTTTCAAAAGAGAACATATCGGACGGTGACCGGCGCTGGTATGTTCGGCGTTCTGTCACTCGACGAGCGCTCTCATAGCGACTGATCGTTGTGAACCCGTATACGCCGAGTGTTTATAAGATTTATTTATAAATATACCTGCTCATTCAACAATTTGCACAGTTTGTGATTGAGTACATTTTTAGTATTTATATTTTAATTTATTTACTTTTATCGATTTATGTAATTGTTTTTAAATTAGTTGGAACCTTATAGGTACTTAAAACTATCAATTTAATTTTAAGACTTAATATTATTTAAATAGTTTTTATAAATGTTTACAGTATTGTGAAAACCGCGATGAATACAGTGGAAAATGGTGTGTCGATAACCAGGACATATTGTTTAAAAAAGTAATACTTTGTACCTACTTTGTAGTGTATAATATCATAAAATTTATTTACATTTTTTTATAAAATTTATAGGGTAAATTTGCCAAATTATATTCAAGAGGATTCATAGGGAGGGATATAGATTTAGTCGATCGTGATGGTAAATGTCATTGTGATAATAATAAGTACATAACTTTTTTTATGGTATTAAATGGATATAATGGAGCATTTGATCCAATAACTTGCAAATCATTCTAGAATTAATCTAATAAATACTTGAATTAATTGTTATTTTCGAATGTTGTAGTTAGGCACAAATGTACTATTAATTAATAAATGTTGTCTTCTACTAATTACTTGATATTCATAGAATGATTTTTTATTTTGTTGTAATCCAAAAACTATTAACTGTAAGTACCTACTTACAATTTTTAGTTTGATTAAAAATATACAATATGTGTCAGTCACATAGTCTAATAGTGGTTGTAACTAGTTTCAGCTAAAAAATATTGACTGATCTGGAAGACCGACACCGCGGGTAACTATGATTAGGTAACAAATAATAGCATAATAATTACATATTATTTCTAGAATAATTAAAAATATTGTGGCATTTCAAAGACGATTGTTGTTATAAGATAATTAAATTATTATGATAATAATTTTGGGTGTCTAAAACTCTTTTTGGCGTTCCTAAAGAGGACGAATTAAAAAAACTTTGGGAAGATGTACTAGGTAATAAACTAAAAAAAAATTCAGTGTGTTCCCACGAATTAAGATATACAAGGTATATATGGTATACCTCAAACTTTAAAGCAAGTGATATTATTATACTCTGTTATATCTAAGAGTGAACCACTTTTGCGCACGGCCAGTCATCGCCGGCCGTCGGGCGCCCGTGTTAAAACTCTCACGGATCGTGATGGGAATGCGTGGGAAAAACGTATTTTGGTCAGCCGAATGGTTCACTCTTAGATGTAACCACGGACTAAGATAGATATATCTTAGTCCGTGGATGTAACAGAGTATAGCACATGGGAGTAAAGATAAAATAAGAATACAATATTGATGATGTTTATGTAAGCAACTAGATAGCACTATAACCACAATGTAGAGAAGATAAGGTGACACCACTTGTACCTTAGATCATATACGATCGTATATGATCTAAGACTTGTACATATTCCGGTCGCAAAATGTCTAGGTAGTTTATTAGTACAAATGTCTCGTGCAGATAGTGCCACCATTCGCCCTAAGGCTGGTTTTTATATTGTGAATACCTACATTATTTTTAATGTAAAATATTAAAAATTATACATATTTTTGTCGTTTTGGATACCATTACTTCAAAATTAAAAATATTAACCAAGTAAGAATTATTTTTAAATAATTGTATACCATATCCTCTTTTGTAGATGAACTCAAGTCACTCGTCAATCCGCTAATCGCTCTTCTAACCCAAGTAATTACTTCCCAGTTCCCTTCTTAATAAAAAAAATGAATAATTCATACACTAGTAACTCATTATCAATCATATTATTCAATGCAAACAGTCTAAAAAACCACGTAAATCAATTGCAAAGTGTGTTATTTGATAAACACATTGACATCGCCTTAATTTCCGAAACTCACCTTACCATGTATTCTTACATATCTATTCCTGGTTACAGTTTACTCAAATCCAACCATCCAGATGGCACCGCACATGGTGGAGCAGCCATACTCATAAAATCAAATCTTAAATTTCACCCTCTCATCAACTACTCTCAAAATCATATCCAATCATGTGCTATCTCCAGTAAAATAAATAAAATCCCAGTTATCATCGCCACAATCTATAGTCCTCCTAGGCACAATTTAACTATTAATAACCTCGCTGACTTTTTTAACTCAACGGTCAATAATTTCATTATTGGTGGTGATTATGATGCAAAACACCAAAGCTGGGACTGCCGAGTCACCAACCCTCGAGGTAACCTACTTTACAATTTCATCAATTTAAAAAAATACAAAATACTTGCGCCGCCTGGGCCAACATCTATTAGGAAAAAACCTGACATTCTCGACATCTTTGTCACAAAAATTCCAAGCAACTTATACTGTCCTATCAACAATACTCTGGATCTAAACTCTGACCACTCATCCCTTATTCTCAATATCGATGCCACTCCACAAACACTCCCTGTTCGGATTTTTTCTTTTGTAGCGTTTTATTAATAACAATGGAATAATACTTAATTTTCTTATAGAAAAAATAAATATTTACCTATAGTAAAAAAAGAATAATACATTCACTATTTAGTATTTTCACACTTGACATTTTTGTTTGTATAATTAAACACAAATTTATGATCATTGAAAATTATAAAAATTAAAAACATACAACATAAAAAAATTATGCTACAGTTATAATAATCATTAAGTATAATTATTGTTTAACACCAGCCACAATTATGAATTAATATTCAATTTTTTAAATTTTTATTCAATCACCTTCTTTATTAAATTATTATATATATTTTTAACATGATTTTTTAAATTGTTCATTACATCTTATAATCATTATAGCCTCCAAAAGTTCTTCATCTAAAGATGCACGCAAATCAGAAACAATAAATTTCAGTCCTGATAAACTTCATTGCACGCTGACCTGAAAATATAATATTTGGTACAATTTAAAAATTCACATCAAATATACTAATATGAGTAGGTATATAAATTTACCTGAGTGGCTGGAATTGCTAATAGAACACAAGCTAACTCATACAGTTCAGGATGAATTTCTTTTTTGTTTTCTCAATATTTCATTATGATATCATTGTAAGGAATGCGCTGGACATTTTTAAAATTATTTAAAATGGCTGTAATAGTTTGTGTAGGATTTGAGGAAGTGGAAGACTGAGATAGATTAGATGATTGGGAAGACAGAAAATTTTCAAAAAAATCATCTGATAGTTGGTCATTTGTATCAACCTCGTTATGAACTAAAAATTAAAAATATATCTTACAATATTGTATTAAATTGTAAAATAAAAACTACTTTGTGTCTGTAATTATATTAGTTTACCTGCAACATCAAAAGATGAGTTGGAACTATTCAATTCAGGATTCTTATGTTTTAATAACTGCAAAGTCTCCCAAGTCTCAACAAGACGATTAATAGCTACACTTTGTTGATCCCGAGTCAGTAAACACTGATATCTGGGATCAACAAAAATTGCTGTAACAGTTTACAATTATATAATTAATAATAAATGAAATGAAAAAATTGTTGTTTAGGTATACATAGTACTATAATAGTATAATACATCTAGCCATATAGGTACACATTCTGATTATATAAAAAATACACATACCCGCTAAGAATGTGGTATTTTCCAAATATTTTTCTTTGAGTTCTTTCTCCATAGCTATTTTTATGGTCTTAGCTAGTATTGACCCATCTGCATTTAATCCATGTATAGGTTTGAACCATATACCATAAAAATCACCCAAATTGAGATCTTGTTTTTGTAATGCAAGTGTAGCCGTCTTTGCAGGATTAAGGGCATTAACCTAAATTTAAAATGATAAAAAATGTAAGTATAATTCACCAGTATAGAAATTTAAATTCTAAGTTTTGGTATTTTTTTTCGGTATTTTTAAACATGGAAGTTTATTATTATTTATTATTTAGTTTGATTAGTTATTTAACTTACAACACTTTGTATGGACTCCCATTCACAATCCCTTAGTTTGATATTTGGATTTGTTCCATTGTGCAGCTTACAAAATTCTTTCAAATCTAAGAGTCTGAAGAGCATGTTGTATAGAGAATTCCACCTAGTCTCTACATCAATGACAGCATAGTTCAAATGTTTTCTTTTTAACCAACTAGCATATTTTGGGGTTCTGAGCTTTTTTACAACCTATAAAAAATAGTTATATTTAACATGTTATCAAAATTAAAGATACAAATTAACCAGGTATTAAGAATATTTTATTTTAAAATTACCTTTCTAGCTTCAGTTATACAACTGGTTATAGGTGCATTTTTTAAACCACTCAGAACACATAATTGTAAGGAATGCACAGAACATTGTATGCATGGTGTTATTGATTTAGGTTCTAAAGCATTGATTACAATTTCTTGAAAATCTTCCACTTCCTTGTTTGTATTATCTTTTACAAAAAAATATAAAGTTAAATTTAAATAAATATAATACAACTTGATTCTAATAATTATTTTAATATAGTGATTTGATATAAAATTACATTAGTTCAATTAAATACTAGGCAATTAAGAGACTAATTAGTAATTATTCATAATATAATATACCTAATGGTTTTCAGCTTACACATAGAAGGTATATACATTAATTTTTATTTGAACAAATGTAGCTAGGTATATTGTTTACTTATTACAATAACCTACCTAAGTATATTATTAGTTATTCTTATTTTTATTCATGTACCCGTTTATTATATATTATTATACATAAAATATAATGTGTCTTGTAATATTTAAACCCATACTATATTAATTAATAATAATAATGAATCATTATATAATTAATTGAGTTTTTATATCTTTGCTTAATTTTAATATATTTATTTATATACTCATAGTATTCAATATGTACTCCATATTGATTTATTATTTAATATTAATTATACAAGTTGGAAAATTTGAAACTAGAATCAACTAATGGGAATTTTATAGAATATAAAAAGTTTTGAAAATGCTCTTATGAATTATGACTATTAACAGGATAGTGATAATATGTAACATTTGTACAAGACAATTCTTATTGGTTAGTGTTTAGTGGTGGTATATCTCAAGTATAAGACTAAAATTTAATAATTATTTTGGTTCTTTTAAAGAGGTAGGTAATATTTATTTTTCAATTTCTGTGTATAATTGTTTGTATCTAATATAGGTAAAATATAAATGGTACAAGTATATTATAATGTAAGAAATATATAGGTACTTACAATAAATTTAATTTTATAAAGTAAGTGTAATAATGTAATTTTTTAAAACTTACCATTATTTTTGAAATCCTCATTAAAAAGTTCATTCTCAATATCATCTGTTGAAAAGACCTTCCTTCTCCATTTTCATATTCAAGTTCAATATCAGAATCATTTTCATTTACATTGGTTTCTATCACATTTATTTCTTCACTTTCGTCGTTAATTATTCTAGCTAACTTGACCATATTTGATGCATTATCACAGGTTATTGTATACATTTGTTCTTTAGCCATATTATACTTTTGTAACACTTCAAGAAGCTAACAAATTAAAAAAAAAATTAAATATAACTCAACATTTGTAGGCATAAGTATGGAATTAATATTTCATATACCAATTATTTTAAATTGTCGGCAGTGTGTTGTTCACGAACTTCTTACATTGCTAAAGTTGCCAAACAAACTCTACCATTTTTTACATACTGGATATTCACTCCCATTATAGAACGGTTGTGGCGTTTAACACAATCGATCTTCAGACTCATCAATTTATTGTTGACATCATTAGTAATTTCACTGATGATTGTACTTGAGGCCGAAAATATATGGTTTTTAATGTTGTGTGAATTAATTGTAAATCCTATTTTAATATAAAAAATAAAAATAAAAAATTAGTTACATATAAATATTATAATATTATACATTTATGATTGAATATAGGTATTAATACAATAAATGGGTATATTGTATTATATGATGTATTTAAAATGAAAAAGTGAATAAAAATAATTAAAAATAATTGTAAAGTTAAAAAAAAAGATATAACCAAAACTCAAAATTAAAATTAGTAATAGAAAAATATGTGATAATAATATAATCATTTACACTATATTATGGTATATACCTTCACCAATTGCTGCTGTAAGAGGATCCAAAATTTTTTTAAATCCTGAATCGTGAAATATAGTCAGAGGACGACCGTTGACTGTTACTATTTCGGTCCAGGCTTCTAATATTTTAAATTTATCAATATTTACATATAATTTCTTCTTTGAAACGCTTATCATAGAATCCAACGGACCACATTTCTAAAAATAATTACACTGTATATAACATTTTTTTTATTATTAACATATAAAATAGGTACATTAGCAACAATAATTAATAACTTAAGATATTACATTTTAAAAAGTTATTTTCTTATTAATAATATCTAAACCCTGGTCCACAACAAATCAGTGATTAAAGTAGTTAGAACTTAGAACAAAATAGGTATACATTGTTCTAATAGTTAACATTTTGAATAAACTTTAGTTATACATTTATAATATATAGTCGGGTATATAGTATATACAAATGTGTAGGGCGAGTTAAATTGTATAACTATATTAAATACTACATTAAATATTGAAATGAAAAAAAAAAAAAATGCTGCCTAGTGCTAGTCTATTATTATTTTAATAATAGTAGGTAACTAACCTACCTATCAAATAGGCAATAGGTATTAATATATTTTTAAGTTTTTTTATATTGTGTGATTTATTTAACATACCTAGGGTAATGTAATAAGTATAAAGTGAAAATATAAAATCATACCTTATATAATTAATTAAATTGATAAATATTTACCTTTGATGGAAATAAGCTGGGATCAATATTATGTTGACGCTTAATTTGACAATCATTTTTCACTACCTACTTGTAAATTTAAATATTCGTTAGGATTGAAACTATGAATATGTGTTTCGAGATTATTGGTGTGATGACCTTTTAAAATACGTTTTACACATCCTTAAACAGTACACGTGGACTCATCTGTTTGTTTATTAAAAGTGAAAAACAAACGTCCAACAGGATTAGCATTCTTTCTACTCATGATTTATGTACTTGAAGTATAGGTACCTTAGTAAATAAATCAATCATTTAGATAAAAATAAAAATTGAAAAAGTTAACATTAACATTAACAATAAAAATTAAACAATACTTACCAATTAAAAGAAATATATAAATTGAGTCACTGATGACTGATTAGAACAACACTAATAAGCAAAAAAGTAAAAACCAAAACCTATCTAATGATTAATAGTGTGGAATGACACTGTGAACAGTGAACACGAATAGGTGAAACAGAATAATGAAAAATTAAATAACAAAATATAATTATTATTATGAAATAGTAAATACTAAATAGCAGGGCTTAAAACCGGTAACCGGTTTGTAACGAAAACCGGTAAAAAACCGTAAATTTGAGAACCAAAAACCGATAACCGTTCTTAGTTTTGGAATGCTGGAAGCGGTTATTGGTTATCGGTTATCAAGGTAAATATCTAAATATTAACATCAAAGCGGTTACCTCGTTTTTTCAATCCCGGTATTATAACCAAAATCTATTCCCGACCAAAAAATTAAAGGTTTTTTCGTGGAATTTAATACTTGAATTGTGTCATGATTACATTATAGTTGAATTTAATTTTCCAGCTATTTTTAAATTTTTTTCCCCAATTAATTGTCGTCGAGTATTGCTTGTTTGTTGTGAATATCAATAACCAATATATGTGTATATATGTGTATATATATATATATATGTATAATTAATATTATAAATACCGTCATAAACATCGTCGTCGTCCTCGCGCGCTGATTCCTATTACGAAATAGTTGGTGGAATAGGGGCTTAGTCCATTTAGTATTTACGACATTTTAATATTGTCTATCACACTTTATATTTTATACATTGGTCAATGATATTATTTTAAAGCTGTTGTTTAAAGTGTTTAAAGGGGTTAAGATTTAAATAATTTGAAGAATAACTACATATATTATACACGGAAATTAAAAATGAAGAACCCTGTTCTTGAAATGTATTTTACGTATGATATAAATAAAAACAGTAGTAAATGTAATGTAGTGGGATGTACCAAGTATATATCTGGTAAGCATTCGTCAAACTTGGAGAAACACATTTTTGCCCTTCAAAAAAATGAGTACAAAATTATTATATATTATTTCGGTTTTTTACGGTTATAAAGAAGAAAATTATAACAATAACATTTTTATATGCAGTTTATTTTTTTGATTTATTAAGATCGCCATTATCTTGATCATATGTTTTAAACTTTAAAGCAGTTTGAAAAAATAAATATTTAAATAATTGAAGGAAATCGACCAAATTAAAGCATATTAAGTTTTTGATTTTGTAATAATAATAGTTATGTTATCAACCCACGAATAACCTAAATAAACTGTTTCAAAAATATGATTAAAAAATTGAAAAAAAAAATGATTTTTAAGAACCGGTTTTAACCGGTAACCGATTACCAAAAAATATAATCAACGGTTTTTAAACGATTAACGGTTATCATAGTGTTTGAAATATCTTTAAAGAAACGGTTACCGGTTACCAAAATATCAAAATTAAACGATAACCGGTTACCAGTTTTCAAAAATTTTCGGCTCCTACCGGAGCCGATTACCGACTTGATTGATAACGGTTTTAAGCCCTGCTAAATAGTAAATTGGTAATAAACGACAAACACGAATACACGGTGCAAAAATAATAAATATCCAATATCGGACCATAATATGCTCCGGTGTAGGGGAGACTAGGGAAAAATTAAAAATACTGTTATTTTTAAAAATTAAATAATATTATTATAATATTAGGTATGTAATATTTTTATATTTAGTGTTATTATTATTGTCTTCGCTCCCCACACACTGCAGCAGCGGTGATGCCGTGATGGGCGCACGATCACGCACACAATTTAAAACCCGTGCTATTTTAATGCTTATTATTTATTGTTGGATTATTTTATTATACGATTTAGAATTTAATACAATTCAATAAAATATGAATAGACGTATACGGGCCATCGCGGTCGTCCGCCAAATAATTTAATGTTGTTGTCAAATGTCAAATGTAATGTGGTGCCCAATGCCCCAATAAATCACTATAATATAATAATAAATTATAATAACAAACACAATATTATTATTGAGTTATTAGACAATACGGGACAACTAGTACCAAAAATCGCGACACATGGATAATTCCCCTGGGCAAGTAACGAACGGTCTAGGATTGAAAGGTACAAATATAGCGCATTCGAGTATTTTCAGGGGGCTGACGGGCTGTGTCATCTATAATGAATTTTGTTTTGCTTCTCCTGAACAATTGGTAAAAGTGGACTTGCATCGTTGTTGCAGTGAGCCCTTCAATTATCATTGTTTGTCCCGTATTGTCATATAATATATAGTATTTTCTAGTAACTATAATTTATATCATTACTTAAGTCTTAAAGCAACTATTAATTTTGCGAATAATGAAATGGTTATAAACATTTTAATCATGATCTCAATTTTATTATGAGTACCTATTAAAGGAATTTACGTATTTAAAAAGTAAAAACACGTCAATTAAAAAAAAAAAAAAACGGTTTCAAATTTTTTTAGATTTCGGTTTTGAATTTAATACCGGTTTCAAATTTTTTACGGTTTCGGTTTTGACTTTAATACCAGTATCCAATTTTTTCCGGTTTCGGTTTTGACTTTAATACCGGTATCCAATTTTTTCCGGTTTCGGTTTCGGTTTTAAAACGGTTTATACCGGTTTCTGAAATCGGTTTTGAAAACGGTTTCAAGCCCTGCTTTAAAGATCATCTTCACGACACGTTTCAACCGCATCATGATATACTTACACCCAATCACATAGTTCAGGTAAACACCTATTTAAGCCTTCCATCTCCAATCAGTCGGCCTGAAAAACACTTCAGCCCAAACGAAGTTAAACAAACCATCCAAAAATACACACTAAAAAAATCACCCGGCTTCGATCTGATAACAGCTAAAGTAGCTAGGTGCCTCCCCAAAAAAACTATAGTTCTTATAACATATATATTTAATGCTATGCTCAGACTGTCATATTTTCCGATTTTATGGAAGTTCTCAAAAATTATTCTTTTTCCCTAAGTCTGATAAGCCACTTGATACTTCATCAATCATCATCTTACAGACCAATAAGCCTCTTGCCCTTCCTATCAAAAATTTTAGAAAGGCTTATCTTAAAATGCTTATTACCGCATATTATTAGTAACAACATACTTCCAAACACGCAGTTTGGGTTCCGCAACGCACATAGTACGATACCTACATCAAGTTCATCGTGCTGTCGATGTTATTTCTGCGTCCCTGGAAAAAAAACTTTACTGCTCTTGTGTTTTTCTAGACGTTGCCCAAGCCTTCGACCGGGTTTGGCACGAAGGCTTGCAATTCAAACTTAAAAAAATTCTCCCCTCGTCATTATTACTACTAATTAAATCTTATCTAACTGATAGACACTTTCAAGTCCAATATAACTCGTCGACGTCCGGAATCGCACCAATCAAAGCTGGTGTACCACAAGGTGGATACTTTCCCCCTTTCTCTTTAACATTTACGTAGCCCAGTGGCGGATCTATGGGGGGGGCGACGTGGCGATCACCCCCCCCCCCCCTTGGGCTT